AATTGACGTGAGGCACGGTGTTGCAAGCGGCAACCAGCTGCGCTATGCTGCATTATTTGGTTCGCTGCTAGTTGTGATTTACGCAAGTGAAAATAATTTTAAATTGACAAAGTAAGAGGCAAAAAGGCTGAGAGACAATGAACGGTCTAGGTATACATATCTACGTGTATATATGTACATATTTGTGTGGCATGCAATGAAGCGGTAAGCTAAAGTATTTAAGCAGATGTAGAAAAAACAAAAGCAAAATCAAAAACAAAAACAAGTAAAATATAATAAGTGTTCAATTTAAAGTGGGTTAAGCGGCAGCAATAGCAACAACAACAACAACAACAACAAAAACAGCAACAGAAAAGCAGTATCAGCTCTAGCAGCATCTTTTCTCGCATTTCTCAACGCTTTTCTTTGTAATTTTCTCATTTGTGACCACTGCCGCACGTCCGACGCCCCAATGTACCGTTAACAATGCGTTTATTATTTCATTTGCTGTCCGCCTCACTTAAGTCAACTTTTTTCTGTTGCTATTGCGGTTGATGTTTGCTATGTAGCCGTTCCTTCGGCCGGGCGTCCGTTCGTGGCATGCGCTCAACAATGCCGTGCTTTGTTCATGCAACGTACGCGTATATACAGAGAAAGCATTCCACAACGTTTTAGACGCCTTCACGATGCGAAGCCTTACTTGATAACAAATATTTACGCGTAATGAATCAACAAACGGTTTCAGTAATAATAGGCAGCAACTACAACAGCAACAATAACAAAAAAAAACAATTTAAAAAGCAGGAACAACACAACACATCAGCTAGAACATTAGCAGATAATAAACAGCAACCAATAGATGTTGATTGTGGCATGTTGCAAGCTGCATGTAGCAGCATGTAGCAGCTTGCAACACCATCACCATCGCCGCAACAACCCTTTTGCCACAATTGCATTTAATGACATTTAAGATTCTATTACAACGATTGCAATTTGTAATTTAGTCCGTTTGACTGACTTGTGGTTGTTATTAGAATTGTTTGTATTTGTGTTGTTATTGTTGCCGTTTGTATGTTGTTACAACTGTTAGTTGGCATCATTGCGGTCACAATGAGCTATTTCCTCTTTTGCGTTTATTAAATTTAATGCGATTTCACATAGTTTACTCCCTCGCATGCGCAAAATATGTATATATGCATTTATATGTACATATATATAATAATATGATACGAATATAAATAAATAGTATAAATTGTTGTTGTTGGATTCTCAGTTCATATGATTTTTTTGATTAACGGAATTTGCTAGCAATATAACGTCTTCGGGTCATGATATATCATGATATATGTAAGTATATGTGATAGCCCGAGGCTACCGAGTTCAGTTCACCCGAATCTGTTTCGGAGACTAAGTTCTTAAAGTTTGCAAATAACTGATGAAAATGTGGAGAAAATGAAGCCTCTTGTTATGGACAATCTTCCAAATATTTTTGGATAAGATTCTTTGCAGCGGAGTTCTTCTGAAAGTTGCTGAGGTTTTCCAAAAAAAAAAAAAATAATTCGCAATTCGAAACGAAGTCGTTTCATGATCCAAACCAAATCTCATGTTCTAATAGAAAAGCACAGCAGAGCCAAATTCAAAAACAACACGTCGACACGGCTCTTTGATCATAGCGTTGTGCATCAACACCATCTGGCCGCAGATTTAGTAAGAAAGGGCTTCAATGCTAAAAGGATATTTGAAAGGTCTTTATTTTTAGACGACCAAAAGTAGATGAAAACGAAATTGTTAAAGCAGCTACCAAAGTTCATATCAGAACTGTTTTGAAGATTGAGAGACAAATCGCGGTGCAAGTGTATTGAATCTGAGCTTAGATTTCCTGAACGAAAATTGGCGATATTGCTTGATGATAGGTAAAAAATGTTGGTCAATCAAATAAGTGCCGAAGCGCTTTCATCGAATAAAACTTCAATGCTAACCAAGCTTTATCTTTGAAGTTGCAGACAATTTCGTCTATTTAGAGATAGAAATAAACAGTTAACAGGGGATACTTTGAACTCTAGACGAACAAGTACCAAAGACTAAAAGTCCCTCATCATTCCCGTCCTGCTGAATGGTGACTAATAACATCTGATGAGCCGACGTTAGAAGTTTTCGAGAGAAACTTTTTGTGTGAAATGTATGGTCCTCTCAATGTTGGTAACGTTGAGCTGTAGGAAATATAAGGCCACATTGAAATATACATACACTGGCAGCTCATGTGGTTTAGATGGATAAAAATACTCACGGTATGAAAGTTTTCGAAGGAGTACCTGGGACAGGGTGCAGAAGGGCTTGACTACACTTACTATTTCCTATTGGCATCAAACAGCGAAGAGAAGGAAGGAATGTTGCATTAAGTAGTGCCTACACCAATAAAGAAGAATTTGCGCTTTGTAACCGCTGAAGCAATTTTCGGTCGAGTTCCCGCCCCAATTTGTGGTTATGCGTCTATATGGTTTTCCAACAAATGGAGAGACCTACAGTTTATACTAAGCCGTTTGAGAACAGCTGGTGGTTTTTTATGTTGAGCTTTTATTTCATGTCAGAAATACACTCGGAGAGGACATTCCCTGCCGAACAGCTACCGCAATTAGACAATTTAACTTCATTTTTTATTTAAATTAATTTTCCATAATTTTGAATGTTGGTGGTACCAGGATTATATATATTCCAAGGGAAAAGGAGTTTGGGGTAATAAATTCCATTATTTTAATTATCAAATTTAATAGATTAAATTTTTTTAAATAATTGTGGTATCGTTTTTTTCATTGCGGTAACAGAGAAGTACCGTAATAAAAAGCATTATAAATTAATGACTTTACGCCCGCTTGCAACCAACACCTTTGAACTAGTACACAAGCTGTGCCACATTACTAACGTGCATACATATATACAAATCTTTAAGAGCATTTCTATTAGCTTTCCAATACACATTGCACAGCACAGACATACATACACACGTAAATAAAAGGCAATAAATAATAATACACTTTTATGGCATCACCAATTATCGGCTTAGGAGCGTTAAAGTCACTTGTAAAATATATTTTGAAAAAAAAAAAACAAATTCTCAATATAAAAATAAGGAAGTGGTAAAGGCAAAGGCAACGGAGAGGCTAAGAAAATATTTAGTATGTTTATATGTATTAAAGTAATATTAGTAACTTTTCAAAGCACTGCAAGCAAACTCTAAATGTTTTTATGTGTTTGAGAGCAAAATATAAATATTTAAATCAAAAGTAAATAAAAAATATGTGGAAAAAAGTAAATAATGAGAAATGCAAATATTGCCATAACAGCAAATACATATCTACGTATATTTATGTATGCACATGTTTTGTGTTTAAAACGCTCCTTTATCGCTGAGTTAACAGATATATGGCAAGCTGTAAATATCATCATAAAATAACCGTAAAAATGCACATACCAATGTAAATACTCATATGTATGTACCGTGAGTATGTATGTATGTATGCTAGTTTGTTTATGATAGTAACTGCATGCGGTTGTACAAATATAAATCACGTTAACTGTACTCTAAATACTAATGCCAAGTCAAACAAAAAGCTTAAGCATAAACAATGGATTTTTTCATTCCTTTTTTTCTTTTTTTTTTTTTTGCTTTGTACGAGTTAACCCCACCGTCTGCGTGGTCGAAGCGTTGAGCTGCATGTTGTATGGTTGCAACAAGTGCAATGGAGCACCTGTAGCAGCAGCGCAACGGTGTAAGTTGTCATATACATACTTATTTAGCTTATTTACATATGAGTAAGAGCATGTATGCAGTTGTGTATGTGTACATATGTACATATGTTGTTATCTGTTGTGATTACTTTTTCTGTTTATTTACTGAAGCTGTGCTGCTCTGCTCTATGTTACAGTTATGCTTTATTGCTCTTTCGGTTGTGTAGTAGATGCCTTCTAATTGATAAGATAATAAATATAAATATTCGTTGCTTTGAAATTTCAAATGAGAGATTTATGTGATTTAAGTAAATTTTTAAATTTATATTTGACACAAATAGCAGCGGATAACTGCAGGAAGCACTTAGTTTTGAGTAAAAAAAATACTTGTTAGCACTAAATGCCACTCGTAAGTACATACAGGTGTATGTATATTCAAAATTATGTATGTATAATTATATAAGTTACTCATTTTTTGTATTTTATTTTTTTCTCATGTGCATGCAAACATATTTATAAGACTTTTTAAGATATATAAAGCTTTATATTTATTCAGTCAGCGTTCTAGGATATTATTTATTTTCTTTAACGCATTAAACCCTCTTTGTTTGGTTAGAAAACTAGGTTAAGATAGTATTGTTTTGACTTTTTTTAAATGAATTTCCTTTCTAATATATTTATGTATTTAAATTTCGAAAAAAAAATTCTTTACATAAAATTACTTTCAATAATATATAACGCCTTGATTTACGGTTATGTAACTAATAAGGAAAGTTTGGTAATTTTTAAATTTAAAAAAGAATAAAGAAGAAGAAGAATTTAATTTCATAATTTTTTATTTTATTTTAATAAAAAGTCAGAGTTGGCAACCCTTATAAAAATCATTTTCTGTATTGAATTTTCATAAATGTCAAATGATTTCTAATATCTGCACAAAAAGCTTGAAAATGCGCCTAAAGGTATGCCTCGGCGCATATGAGCCTATAAATATCCCCCAAATTAAAAACCAAGGACAGAAAACGGGCAATAGAGCGAAATAAAATAATAAATGTATTTAAAAGATATACATAAGGCATTCACATAAGTCCAGCGCTGACCGTTGGTATCAACTTATACTATACTATAGCCCGTCGTTGCTTGCGCTGAACATTATTTGCGCATTCAATAATTTTCAAAAATCTCTAGCCGCAGTAGGTCTCGCTTCTGCTATAGGTGATTTCAGAACATAATTTTTACTGACTAAAAATAATCAGTTTTTACTAGAAAAAGTCTACATCTCAGTAACTTTTGAAATTTAATTTAGAAGAATATTTTTAAAATAATTTGATAAATTATTTCAAGCGCTGAAAACTGTGAGTGTGAATTTTAAAAAACTCCGTTGTAAGATAGAAAAACGTTATTGGACTTTTGCAAAAAAGGCGTGAAATATAGTTTTTAGTTTTGGAAAAATAAGAAATATATAAAATAAAATTTTCAAAGTACTGCTGATTAAAACTAAATAAAATTCTAATAATTGTTAGAACAAAAAACCAAAATGTTTGCGAAGCATTTGCTGAAAGCTGGCAGAACGCTGCGAAGCAGTAAGTTTAAATTGCCAAAATAACAACTGTTTTCTTTTCTTTTATTAATTTATAAAAAACTTAAATAATTTTCCTTTCTCTCCCCGTTCACAGATAGCTTGCCAGTTTTGCACAGCGCACCTCTGCGTCACGCTAGCAAGTCGCCGTTTGTCGACGGCGGCCCACATTCTACCATGAATGACTTGCCCATACCGGAAGGTGACTGGCAGGAGGCTTACTCCCGTAGAAATTTTAAGAATACTCTGGTATTATTGATTGGCATTGGCTCTTTTGTGACTTCCATTTATATGGTGGGTTCATATAGAATGTGTTTTTTCTTGAGTACTCAAGGGCTCTTCATCATCTGTGCCTTTTCTTTATTTGTTTGCAGCATTTCACTGATGAGGCTTTTAATTGGAACTACAAGGTACCCGATTATGATAGATGCAGTTGAAGAGTGTGGAATTAGAACCAATTTAAAAATAAAAAATTAAAAAATTTAAATATATAAATTCTTAAAGCGTTTTTCTATTCAAAAAATAATAATGAAAAATTCACAAAGACTTAATATAAACACTAAAGTATAGGAAATGCAATAAAAATATGAAATGACCAAGAAGAGTGAAGTAGATCACCTGCAACAGATCAAACTTGAAATGAAAACCACAAATCACTCATGGCGCTCTATCTTTTCCACTCAACTATGCAAATAACTCGCAAGCACCACCACACGGAAGGCTAAATGTGAAAATATGTAATAGAAATTTTATAAAAAATCATGTCACGTTTTACTCCAATTTTCCAATGAGCAAATAGCCACCACCAATAGACTGCTAATATTTGTAAAACTCAAACAACACCACATACAGCACAGCGCAGCGCCCAAAACCCGTTTCACGCTCAGCCATCAAATGAAGTATGCGCCATGCGCCACTGTGCCACTCCGTCAGTGAAGCGGAAAAATGCGGAACAAAGTATAAAACAAATTGTGAAAAAAAGTGGTGTAAAAAAATGGGAAAAGGTTTGAAATTGAAATTAAACTAACGGCGAAGTGCGCTGTAAAAGTGCGGGCAATTATGGCGTGGTCACCTAGAAAGGAAATTTTTTATTGTGTATGATGGATCTGTGTGGATTGTCGCACAGTGAGTTTATTTTGATTTTTTGTGTTGAAATTTTTGAAATACTTTTCAATTATTTTATCATTGCAAAACTTTTCTATGCGAAAGTAAGCTCCACCGAAATGGGTTGTCACTTGAAAAAACTTTAATGAACTAAGTTAAAAAGATAACTGAATAATTGAAACTACAAAATAATAGTTTTGCCAACTCTTTAGAATTTTTTTTTTCAATTCAACTAATAAATGCATTTTTTCCCAACTGCAAAAAATTTTAAAGACTAGCAATTCAAAATATTTTGATTCAGTGTTGCCAACCGCACAAAAAATATGTACTAAATTAAATATTTATTCGTTTGATTGCTGTATGCAATTACATATAAAAGTTTTTTCAACTGCTTGAAAATTGTGTATTTTCATTTACTCATTACTTTTTTGCCAATAGGTATCAAAAATTGCCCACTGTCCAACATGTCACACCTCCCAGCGTTACAGTCGGAAGTTGATATACGTTTTTTTTTTTTTATTTTTTCACGGCTTATCAGCTAAGTGGAATTTTTGGTCAAGCTGAGCACACCTACTTACCCACTAGCTTGGTGGCCCACATATAAACATACATACATACTTGGAGATATGTACATACAAACCCACTTTAAGCCTAATTCCATTTTGTGATCGCCAATGATTTAATGCAGTTTGAGCGCTTGATTTGCCACACTTCTATGCCTAACACACTTGCCTAAGCATTAGATATAGAATTTGTGGCGACCCAGTTTGCTCAGCTGTTCGTTGGTTTGTTTGCTTTGTGTTAGCGTAATTTGCATAATAATAGCGATAATCAACTGAAAGTCTGGTCAAAATTGTTGTATTTTTTTGAAATATTACTAGTACATTCGTTTATGTGGGTTACATACCGTTATTGTGGTATGGCACAGCTATTGCAATATACAACTTAGTAGCACTTATGTATTGTACATATATACACACATATGTCTGTATCTATGTATGTATGTACGATCATCTTAGTCAATCAAACATATGTATATAATTTCTCTGTACACTCTATTTGTTGCCCATTTGATTGTTTAATTTTTAGCTAATAGCGTCACGACGAAATAAAAATGATATTTAGATGTAATTTTTTTATAGAGTTTCCACCTGTTTGGCATTTTGAAGATAAAAAATATATGAAATGATGAAACAGTATAAAATGGGCAATGATTAAAATTATTTTATAGCAGGGTTGCCATCTTTGAACACTTGAATTGTATATAAATACATATATAATTAAGTAAGTATATAAATTGGGAGAGTTCTTATAATATGGGTATCAAGCTAAAAGTGCTTCAGAAGGCTTTCATTCGAAAATAATTTCGGCGATTGTTTCCACTCGTTTTTATTGTTTTGAAGATGCTTGCAACTGAAACCATTCGCGGAGGAATATTTATTTACTTCAAATTTTTATTATGAAAAATTATAAGAAAAATGTTATTATGAAAAATTATTAGTTATCAAACCAAAAGCCGAATATATATATATTATTTGTATATATATATATATATATATATATATAGATTGTAAGTTTTACAAAGGCTTAGCTATGAAAAATATTCATAGGATTAGTAATTTATTTATTTTATTAAGGAAAATTGGTTGCTTGACGAATTATTAATTTTTCAAATCAAAGTTGAGAAATTTCATTTTTCGGTTAATTGCGGGAGAAAGGTAATATTATGGATATTACTGCATTAAGCTATTTTGTCTATGAAAACTTTCTCAAATCGCTAAGTTTTAAATCAAAAAATTGTTTAAAAACTGTTCCACATATGCAATTTCATGCATTTATTATTATTTTATCATACAATTTTACGATGTATGTATGTATGTATGTATGTACACCTAATAAATACTTTGAACTATATTTCAGCCAAATTTAGAGTGTTTTGTTTTCGCTGAAATTTAGTAAAGTTTTCTAAAGAAATTTTCCCATCATTTGTTGCACTATTGTTTAATTTTTTTTTAGTATTTTTTCATTATTTTCTTGACCTGCAATAGTTAAATATTATTTATTGCTTAAACGCTTGCATGCATACATAAATGCTTATTTGTATATTTATGTGTTAAAGCCATAAACAGAAATGTGTGGTCGTCTACCTGTATTCCGGCATAAGATGGAGCGATTGCGCCACACAACATTATCTTTTACTATATTCTTTTACTTGCCACTTACAGATGTGCATATAGATTGTATGCGGTTAAGTATATACACGTATGTATGTATAAGCGTGTATGTATGTATGTGTGTACGTATGTGCAACTATTTTGTGCTCCATATCATTTATGAGCTTGTTTAATGTGCTTTCTTCTTTATGGCAGCTGTCATATTGCTGTTGGTTCACTGTTGGCATTAGTTGGGCTTAAATTGTGTATATGTATGTATGTACACACACATGTATATGTAAACAATATACCATACCTTCATTATTCATCTGCCACATATATGCAGCAGTACAGATTTTGTAACAAGTTCGCTTGAAGTTGTTGCAGTTAACATATTTTTTTTTTTAAATTTTTTTTTCTATTTTTTATCTATATTTATTATTTTGTACATTTATTTATTTTCATCATAATCGGCTATAATCACGTAAGCGATGTCTACGCCATTAAAGTATTTATTTTCAGCTTTTTGTCTTTTTAGATTTTATATCAAACTTAACTATTTCGTTAGTTTTTTATTTTATTTTGCCTTTTTTATTCTTTTCATTCAATAGTATAATTAGTTGTTTTAACTTTCGTTTTAAAAAATATATTTTTTTAATTCATTCGCTTCTTCAATTAATTTAATCATAATTTTTACTTTCTTAATTTTTAATTTTTATTTTGTTCTTTTTTTATTCCATTTATTTATTTTCATCCTTTTTATTAGTACAAATTTTTTATATTAAATTTTTGTTTAAAAAATCTATTTTTACTTCTATTCATTTTTATTTTATTTCTTTTTTTTTAAATTTATTTTAATCATAAATCATTAGCTTTTTGGTATTAAATATTCTTAAAAAAGATGAAATGTTTTTTATATAGACATATGTGTTTGTATATATATTTATACACTTTATTTTTATAGCTAATTCAATTTATATTACTAATTTTTGAAGTTTCTTGTTTCTATTAAGTTTTGATCGAACTATTTTTATTAGACCAATTTATTTCATTTATTTTGTTCAAAATAACAATTTTTTTAAATATCCCTTTTTTCGTTTCCTTTTAATTATTATTATTTTTTATTTTGTTTTTATTTTCCTTTATTCCTCTATTTTTTGTATTAATTTCTGTTTTTTATCTCTCTATTTAATTTCTAATTTTTGTTGTTTTTTTATGTTAAGTTTTGCTCAGTTAACAACACACAGCGACATCTATTGTTGTTATTTTCCATGAGAATAGTTTGTGACGTGTTATTGTTAACCGCACGTAGCAAGTATTTAATGTAGTTTTATTTTTGCTGCCCTCATTAAGCAAATTTATTTTCAATATGTTTTTAACGCATTACTGAGAAGTAGAAAAGAACAGATTTTTGAAAATATTCAAAATAGCGGGCGCCAGGCCGTTGTTGGTTTTGATAATATTTTCGCAAGAAATTGATAAGAAGAAAAATGGGTCGCAGACAGCTGCCACGCAGTTAAGAAATGACGAGCCGCAGCAACAAGTGATGATATATGCATATATATTAATGGGATTCTTTATGGAAAATTTTTATTGCGTAAAATATTACCAAATTCGATTTAAACTTTGCTCGTTTTAGCAGTGAAAAAGGATTTTAGAAAAATTTGTAAAATAAAAAAAAAATTAGAATAAAGATTTCTATGCAATGAAATTGTTTAATCGATAGCAGTATGTGCCTCAAGCATAGTTTTTACGAGGGTCACAGCCTCTCTAAATTTTGTTTATTGAATTTACTTAAGAGATAAATTAAACAATTAAATATTGCAAAATATCACATGAAAGCCATTAATACTACGATTTAATCACCTTTGAACTTGCACTATAGCAAAGAACGGAAATAAGGCAAAGTGAATATGTAGCATAAATAACTAAAAAACACTTAATAGCTTTAAATTTATTTTTATTTCGTTTTTAATTCTTAAATAATTTTATGAAAAGCAATTAGGTTCATACAACACTAAGAATAAGGAAAAAAGGCGTACGTTTATAAAGCTTCTACATACACATATATACGTGTACATATGTTCATATAAATATGTATATTTATCAGCTTATAAAACCATAACACTATGTAACAGTAGCAAAGTGAATGAGGGTAATTTAATAAGTAATTATATGTATGTAATAAAATCTGCAAACTTCATAATAATAACTCTGCAAAGCTGAATGTTCCACATGTATATACA